TTACTTTCTCTGTGCCTCCAACGTCGCATTTAGAGTTGTTCCCTTTTGAAGTTCATCGAGAACCCTTAGTTGTTATCGCCGTAGCCGATGGGCTCGAATTAGATGGAGGCAATGAACAGAATAGTGGAGAGTCAACGGTTAAGGTCAAATGTGAAGCATCTCCCACTCCGGCTGGACTGGATCAACTTCGACAGGAACTAGAATTACTGAGGGAGAGGAACCCAAAAGCCTTGGTACATCAACTCTTAATATTCGATTATGAAGAGGTGAACAAGCTTTTGAACGGCCCAGAAGATATCTTATGGATTCCTCGGCCTGAGGCCTCTAAAGCTACTACGATGAAGACTGTGTTATGTGATATAACCTCTCTGCTTCTTTCCGAGCTAGATGAATTTGCGAGGACTATGCAGAGCATACCTTCAATCGAGTCCCCAAAGGCTTCATCCTGGGGTCCACATCGGGGCCCAGATATACGCCCACGTCCCACCGACAGATTGTTTCACCGGATGACCATGCCTGCGCAGATGCCATCTAACCCCAGCGGAACGCCTGAAACTCCTCTCAGTTCCAGCCAAGGCTCGCCCCTACCAAGTGACCATGAAACTCCAACGACTTTTGATGAGATAACCCGATCTATCCAACTATCCACTCGCTCCAACTCGATTGGAAAGCCCAACTCCTTGCCGAGTTCCAAAGAACATAGCCGTGACCGGATGTCTGTGAGTAGTATGAGCGCTACCGATCGTACTAAAAATCGGATCAAGGGTCGTGCAGGCGTTGTTATTGGAACTCTCTTTCTTCAGGCCGGAAGGTGGCCGGATGCCTTGAAGGAACTCGTTGAAGCTGCATCTAACGCTAGAGCGTGCAGTGATTATGTCTGGCATGCCAAAGCCCTTGAATCAATCCTACTCTGCTTGCTAATGTTTGCGTGGGCAGGCATGGATTTTCAGGTGCGTTTCTCTCTCTCTCTCTCTCTCTCTCGCCCGATACTCAATTGAACGTTACTGTTACTAAAACTTCGATCGATAGATTCCTCCCATTTGTTATCCTGTTGCCGATAAGTCTTCAAAATCATCATATAATTTCGAATCAGCCCCGGGGCAATCCACACCTGGGAACCGGATTATCTCTCTTCAGAATCTATCAAACCTTTTACCCGACCTTTCGAACAATATACTCAATCTCTACAATCGTGCCGCTAATATAGCCAATGCGCCCTTGCCTCAACTCATCTTCTCAGAAACAGTGATTCGTTTAGGTAGGCTGTTGGTAGCTGCTCGCATCCGTGATGGTGCATTAGATGACATAGCCCTAAAACACATTGTTATGGGTGAACCTCTACAACCTCTTCACCGACCGGAGCGCCCTCGTGGCCTGGTCATCCTCCGAAAGTCCGAGATCGCAAACTTCCTCCTCCGTGCACTGCCGTTATCTCCCGGGTCAGATCTGCCTCCGACGGATGCAATACCTATCATGATCGGTGTTGTCTCTGTCTTTGATACGCTTGGCCTACCACGAAAGAAAGCCTTTATCCTGAGAGAACTTCTGTCAATACTCGTCCCAACGCTGGTTCAAGCTCGCAAGATCGGTGCAGCAGAAGTGGGAATTCATCCTGCTGCCGGTTTAGCTTCCCTTAGCGACACAGCTTTTGATATCAATGCTCTGGACGTTGGACCTGGGAACATGGAAGAGAGCATGCGCTCCCTCCTCGCTACAATAGGGGAAATATATGGCGTTCAACCTTCATCCTTTTCCGAGTGGCAAAAGAGACGCTCCACAAACGATAGCGGTACAGAGTCCTTCCCTGAGTACGATTCAGTTGTTGCTATTGTTGAACGATCGTTTCGGCACGCCGTTCTCGATAGGTATGGTGACTTGAACCTCAAGATTGATGTCCTTAAGGCCTGTATCAATTCTTGTGAAGCACTTCCTGATTTTGGTGGCGTCCTTCGTTTCACGGTCGAGTTGCTTCAGACCATCAGGGGGGACCTTATGCTTGCTGAAACATTACACACCCCTCCATATCTTCCACAGGACGAACAGGTCCGCCTGTTAAACAACATTAAGCGAACGGTGGGGGCCGCAAATAAGCTGGGTGCATCCGGGCTGGAAGCGGAGTACTGGGATGATTTCTTAGTACGGGGTGTCCAGTTGCTGGCTCTTCCGGATTCCAGAAGCCCGGTCCGTCGGTCTAAATCAGAGCTCGATGTTGTCACAGCTGAACGTGAAAAATCATCAAAAGACCCATTCTTATATAATCCCTTTCACAAGCCAAGCAACAAGACAGCAGAGTCACTCATGGTGGCTGGTGAACATGCCGCTTTTCAACTTACGCTCCAAAATCCTTATGAGTTTGAAGTGGAGATCGAAAAGCTCCGTCTTGACTGCGAAGGTGCACCTCTCGATGCCGCTGCAGAATGGATCGTGCTTCGGCCCCTAAGCTTGCAAGACGTCACAATTTTCGGATTAGCACAAGAAGAAGGGGTTGTGAATATAACAGGGTGTTTCGTCAAAGTCCGGCACTGCAGAGAACGGAGGTTCCCCATTTTCAAGGATTTATGGAGACCTGAAGCCGAAAGGAAATTTAAGCGAACTGGTTTAGCAGCTAAGCAGCCTTCGATGGAGCGGCCACTTTCCTGGAGTTCAACCACTTCGAGGGACGGCAAGCAGCTTCCAAAGAAAGGCCCAGATACATCATCATGTGAGATCAAAGTTATAGGCCATCAGCCGTCCCTCCTGATCGAGTCGCTGTCCCTGTCGCAATCCGCGTTCATGGTTTTGGAAGGTGAAGTTGGTTCTTTTCAAATTACATTGCGCAACACGTCATCTTGCCCTCTGGATTTTATATTGTTTACTTTCCAGGACTCTACTACGAGGCAAATCCAGAATGCTCTAAGCAACAGAGATCTGCTGCCGGTGGAAGTGTACGAACTTGAACTCAAGCTGTCGAAGCCCGCTTTGCGGTGGCGGCGTGAAGGCAAAAATCCAGGTGACCATTCAATACCTCCTGGTGAGTGTGCTATATTCACTGTGGACGTCACTGGGAAGCCCGGCTTGCAAGATACGACAGTACAGATCGATTATTCGTGTGTTAGGCAGTCCCACGGCGAACTACCTGATGTGTTCTATACCCGGCAACTATTTGTCCCGCTCACCGTTACGGTCAATGCGAGCATAGAAATTGCTCGTTGTGATATATTACCTTTTAGTGGCGACTTCGCCTGGTGGAACTGTCGGGAGGCTGATGCGGAATCAGAGTATACCGCAAAGGCAGAGACGGATGGTTCTCCATGTTCGCTAAGTAACGATCTGTTTTCACCTGTGCTATCTCATCTTGGGCAAGGCACATATGGTTCTGATCACTGCCTTCTTCTACTTGATCTTCGCAACGCTTGGCCGAGTCCCCTAACAGTGTCACTGCAAGCTAATTCACATCCCATCGAACCATCTGAGCAGTCGATAGAGGAAGCTGAGTTGATAGATGGCCGCTACATCGTTTCTGGAGAACTTCAACCAGGGCAAACATCGCGTTTTGTCCTCGTTCTTCCTCGTGTCTATCTAGATAACCCCCATGCTTCGATTCCAGCCCTAAACACTGGAGTGAAGAGACAGTTCGTTGTAAGCGCCCATAAACTTTCATTCGACGCTGAAGCCGCATCGCGTGAGGCATTTTGGTACCGAGAAGAGCTCCTCAAAAGAGTATCCGGATTCTGGAAAGAGAGTCCTGCGGGGCGGAAAGGAATGATTGACCTGAGAAACCTACGTTTCAGTGCGCGGATGGCAGACGCCTTCCGACTTGAAGACGTTGATATAACATTTGCCCTGAGTCCCTCATCATCCGATATAGTTAGCCCCCACGGCGACAGTGTTGTGCAGATCGGTCGGTCAAAGTACAAGGTCCAGATTGACGAGATGCTTAGTCTCAAAGTCACTATCTCCAACCGATCCTCAAGGCCTATCCATCCTCTGCTCCGACTCCAGCCAAGCCTTCGTCACCAACCTAACAGTATTGCTCTTGATTTGTCAAAGCGTCTCGCATGGACAGGTATGCTACAGCAAGTGCTACCTCTGCTACATAGCGGGGAGAGCACAACTGCTACCGTCGGTGTAACTATCCTTTGTCGGGGAGAGTACGAATTCGGCGCGTCTGTGGAGGAATTGCGCTTCTTGAGACCTTCACCCGGCACGGAATTAGATACCCATCCCCAGGCCCAAGCGTCTTTCCATGATGACGAGGGGCCCATCAAGGATACGTTTGGTATAGATGTGGCCAAGAAAAGACATATATGGCATGCTAAAGAAGCCTGTGTTATGAATGCTCATGGGTAATTGCTGAGATGAATAGAATCGCTTGACGATCTTCTATCCAGCAAACAAACCTAGCGACATCGGCTGTCGATCTGCCTGTTGGGACGAGGTTTTGCCGGAGATCACTATCGCCGGTTAGTGAGAAGTGTCTTAGTTGAACTATAGATTATGTATAAATATCAAATTAGATGGCTTACGAGTGGGCTGCCAGGACAGAATTGTAGGCTAGTTCATGTAATTGTGTATATGGATATTTGCTCCCTTGTTTCGCCTATATTGATAGACTATCTTACTAAATGTTGTTGCTTGCACAAGATTTGAAACAGTAGGTCAAACTTCATGTAGGCTAGATTCACCAATGTCAACCAACCACTTGCTATGGTCGGAGGCCTGCGGTTATAAGATCCCAACGGGTCTGAGATGTTACAACTAGCTAGCCTTGACAGCTGAGAGGAAGCTCGTCCCTGCAACATGTCGCGACTGAATTGACACAGTATTTTTGTATTAGGATCGCCACTATAGTCAAACGCTACGCGGAATATAGCTAGCACGCCTATTGAACGACTGAGCATCACATCGGCTGCGATCAGGTGAGATATCGAGATAATAACTCATAAGAACCAGGGGGGGTTCCTCGTGAAGCAGCAGAGCTAACTACTAGCACAAGTCTAGAGCTTACCAAAGCACTCTCATCACGTCGCCGTCTCTCCCGATTCGTTTTCTCGTGCGTTTGTAGGCATTTTATCCTTGGCGGGTGAAGGGTGCTGGTCACCATGGGGAAAGCTTAGGTATTTCCAATCCTCGATTTCTTCAATGATACATTTTAGTCTATCCCGAATACTCTCCACGGCATATGTGCCTAGAATAAGTCGGAGAGGCGGATAGGAGCAATGACCCAATTCCCAAACGAGATAGGCTGCTTTCACGGCGCTGGCAGGTTGCTTATCGCCCAGCCACATTAGCATGCGTTTTGCATGTGCCGCCGGCGCAGTGGGCGTGTTGTACGGTTCGCTCGGTGGCTTGACAAAAAAATGACCGTAAAGGGGGAGCGGCGACGCGAGGTCGTTGTCATTCTGACTTGCCAGCATCGCAGTATCAGACACAAGATCGCCGATGTCATCACGGCGCATGTGTCCAGGCTCCACGAGGGTGGTCTTAATGTTAAAATTGTCCACTTCGTACAGCATGCTTTCCATCAATCCTTCGACAGCGTATTTTGATGCGCAGTACGGCCCTAAGCCAGGAACGCCTAAGGCGCCTGATGTTGAGCTGAAGATTAGATACCGACCGGACCTCCTCTCACGAAAATGCGGCAGGGATAGCTGAATCATGTTCAGCGTACCCATAAAATTTGTCTCGAATTGGTCGCGGATGTCATATTCGTCTTGATCCTCGCAGGCCCCGATCACACCGTACCCGGCGCAGTTGGCAATGATGTCAATACGGCCAAAGCGCTCGATTGTGCGATCGATGACTCGTTTGACGGTCTCTCTAGCACGGACATCACACAGAAGTCCCAGGCAGTTATCGTGCTCTTCTTCAAGCTTCTTCATGCACTCTGGACTGTTCTCGAATGTACGCCCAACAGCTGCGACAAGGTCATCGCGGGACAATGCGGTCTTGACAAGGGAGCGGCCCATATGGCCTGTCGCACCGAAGATCTAGGGTAAGACCGGGCATGTTAGCTGCCAGGGTTGTCGAGATTCGAGACAGGCACTGCTTGAAGTAGCTCGTGGGTCATACCAGCCATACGAGTGGTTTCGGCGGGTTCTGCGGTCCCGGAGGATCAGTGGTGGTGGGTAGGTGGAGCTTAGGTTCCCGTACACCGGTTGCAGACGGTGATGATGCATTTAAGGGTTTGGGGGAGGAATTATGAAACTCCATCAAGAGGATGCGAGGTGGAGGGAAAGAGAATAAAAGAAAAAGTCCGTTGCGGTTAGGCGCGTTGCTTGAAGAATAGTTTGTTTCCATTAAATTCTTCTCCGCATTGGGAAAATCCGGGGTCTCGGCAAGGTCGTATTGATCAATCAAACCTCATACAGCATTTAAAAACCTCGGTCGATAATCTATACATATATACACAGATCAAGGTAGACAATGTTCTTGTGGAATATAGTTACACTAAGACGTTTTGAAACCACCCCTGAAATCTCTCCATCCCTCAAGCATGCAAATGCTACCGAAATTCAATCAGAATGCCCCCGCATAAAAACGCCGATACCAGGCAATTAGGCAATAACAGGGTCGTATAGTTGGTAGTATCTTACTGCGCAATCTCCCTCCGCAGCCGTCCAGCGGCACTAGAGGGAGCGGGCTCTGGCCAGCCGCTCACAGCGTCATCAATTTCCTCCAGGAAACTCGTGCTGTTGTGTATGCTTGTACCAGCAAGAACCACTCGTACTCCAGGCGAGCTGGCATTCACCTGAGCCACCATCTTGGCTTCTTCATAAGTCGCGCCACCAACCATAAAAATGATTATATCCTGGGGTTTATCCCGGATGTGCCCTCCACTCTCGAGAAAAGGATACTGTAGCTCCTTTAACCGGCCCTTGATCAGATTTTGAAGAGTGGCCTCTAGGCGTGGTGAGTGTTGGGTGTAGACATTCTCAACACCTTTCAGCCCTTTGAAACGGTCTCGAGCACCAGAGAAAAAGGAAGTCGATTCGAACAGGTCAGAGAAACCCCCAGCAACTGGAGGAGCTTGAAGAGAATGGTGGTAGGCAAGTAGTTTCGGAATGGTATTCACTTTGTACGACGGCACATTTCCCGCAGTGACCAGTAAATCAAGCAGAATCGGCAGAGCATTATTCGGTTGTTTTTCGTATCGAATGGCGTATAGTGCCACTAGACGTATCTTATTTTCGGCCGGCACAGATGGCAGTTGTATTATCCGCTGTAGATTCTACGCAACCAGTCAGCATCAAGTCCACAACCATCCCTAGCGGTCAAGTCTCAACATACCTTGAGGTCACTAGCATGGTTTTCGTTGCAAGCCAAGCTTTGCTCCAATTCGCTGACATCGAGGAGATCCTCCTCGCCGACTCGCCGGCTGAGCTCCCCGACCAGAGTAACATGTTTACTGACGTTTCCAGAAAGCTTGCGAAACTCTGGATAATCCTCCACGAACCGCTTCATATCCGCAATCGACTCGATATTCATTGTATTCTTAGTTTTCACCTGATACTGTTCGACGTATTCTTTGATATTCTGACCCAAATCGCCGAAGTTTTGGTACATATTCTTCTTAAAGAAAGGATCTTGGTCTTGAGAGAGGACGATTTCTCGAAGCTCCGGTCGGATTTCCGGCACGTCTCGAAGGTCAACCCTTCCGTTGTAAATACCCATCAGTTCATGAACCATCGCTTGATACGTCCACTGGGTCAATAAAGGTGTAATAGGATCATCGCGTCGGTCTAGAACTAGAAGAATTGGCGGCGTATCGGTCTTACGAAAATTGAACAATTGCTCTTCCTGAGTCAACTGATACCGAACTTCAGTGGCCAGCTTTTTGGCCAGCAGACTATTTTTCTCGTAGCGTATCAATGGATTCTTTTTCAAAGCTAACAGGATAGAGATTATACCATCCGTGGCTCTCTGCAGTGCATCTGCATTCCACAGGTCTGGAGAGTGACTCCACAACCGCTGTTGAGGAAAGCCGAGATTTAAGGAACAGAGATCCGGATTGATCACGATGAAGTCTGCAAAGTGTTCCTGCACCGTACGCACCACTTCATGGCTGTCCGCCTCGGCGAGGCGCTCAAGCGACGACTTGCGAATGATGTTGCTGAGATAGATGTAATATTCGCCGTACTTGGGTTCACGAAGTTCGTCGATCAAGAATTGGATGGAGCTGGGGGATGGGCGCACAAAACAGAGGCAGCGCAAATGCCGCATCCTCTCTCGAGCCGCATTATCTAGTCGGTCGATCAGGTATACTTCGTGATTCAGCAAGGCGGATTGGGTGATGGCTGTCGACACAATAGTGACCTATCCATGGCAAATTAGACCGCAGCCTCTTGATAAGCATGTAACCTAGAAGGGGAACCCCACCGTCTCACTATCCAAAAGCAAGATCTTCATCTTGGCCGACGCTGAGGAGCCTGATGTCGAAGGATCCCCTGCCGTGACCATCTTGGAGATATACCCCGAAACCGCCGCGACGACGTCCATGGTGAGGGTAAACCGCCCCGAGGAGGCGTTAGAGGATCACAACTGGGGACAAGTGCGCCGAAAGTTAGCTAGTCACGGATGAATCTTCAATATCTCCGATAAGAAACAAGATATGAGGTACGGAGGAAGCGTGAACACTTAAGTTGTTCTTGTTGGGGTGGGGTGGATCTCATAAGAAGCGGCCCGCCAAACACGTTTGGAGTCTTCGTTCTCCGCCTATTCTCATGGCATGTGATTTCTGTTGATGTTTCTCGACATAGGGCATTTTCATGAACCTTTTCCCTTCCCCAACAACTTCTCAATATCGGGTCTACTCAATGTCGTCCATGCTCGTCTAAACCATACCTAGAGCTTTCTCCCTATTCTTCCTCCCCCGTTTTTTTCCCCCCCAACTTCTCTTTCCCGTGCTGCACGATGCTACCATACGTAGATGTCGGTGAGCTGTTCCCCCAGTTAACGTCCTTTAAGCTCAGTATTGGACAGTACTAACATGCTGCCTTATCTTCTAGTTTTCGAGTATCCTGCCAATATCACAGGAGCTTCCGTTGATGAACGTAAGGTCTTCCAATGGCTTCATACCTCGTCCGCATCGCTAAACTGTCCCCTCTCTCGCATTAGTGAAGCTTATTGCGTCATTCCTACTCTCCTACCCCCTGGCCGCGCTATTGAAAAGAGTCCCAGACGCACAACCTTGGAAGAAGAATGCATTCATAATTGCTGTTTCATTATTTTATCTTGTTGGCCTGTTTGACCTCTGGGACGGTCTCCGGACGCTAGCCTACAGTGCGGCCGGTATCTACACGATTGCCTATTATATTGATGGGTCGCTGATGCCATGGATTGGGTTCATTTTCTTGATGAGCCATATGTCGATCAGTCACATCTATCGACAAATCATAGATGACGCGCATGTAACTGATATCACCGGAGCCCAGATGGTGCTCGTCATGAAGCTTTCATCGTTTTGTTGGAATGTTCATGACGGCCGTTTGTCCCAGGAACAGCTTTCAGACCCTCAAAAGTACGCCGCGATCAAAGACTTTCCCAGTATTCTGGACTACCTAGGATATGTGCTGTTCTTTCCGTCACTTTTTGCTGGCCCGTCTTTCGAATATATCGACTATCGCCGGTGGATCGACACCACACTCTTTGACGTGCCTCCGGGTACGGACCCTTCCAAGGTCCCTCCGACTCGAAAGAAGCGCAAGATCCCTCGAAGTGGAACTCCTGCCGCCAAAAAGGCGTTAGCTGGGTTAGGGTGGATTCTTGCATTCCTGCAGCTCGGGTCGTTCTACAACCAAGAATTGGTCCTCAGTCAGACGTTCATGCAGTATTCCTTTCTTCGACGGGTATGGATCCTACACATGCTCGGCTTTACGGCCCGACTGAAGTATTACGGAGTGTGGTACCTCACAGAAGGTGCCTGTGTGCTATCTGGCATGGGATACAATGGCTTCGATCCTAAGTCTGGGAAAGTGTTTTGGAACCGGTTAGAGAATGTCGATCCATGGAGCCTGGAAACTGCTCAAAATTCCCACGGCTACTTGGGGAGCTGGAACAAAAACACGAACCATTGGTTGCGAAACTATGTTTATTTACGCGTCACTCCTAAGGGCAAGAAACCTGGCTTCCGGGCCAGTCTCGCTACGTTTGTCACCAGTGCATTCTGGCACGGATTCTACCCTGGATATTATTTGACCTTTGTTTTGGGTTCATTTATCCAAACTGTAGCTAAGAGTATGTCTCACGTGCCTCCATTGCATTAATTCCATTCTAATCAGTTTTCACAGATTTCCGGCGCCATGTTCGGCCATTTTTCCTCACCCCTGATGGCAGCCGGCCCACTGCTTACAAGAAATACTATGATATTGCCAGCTACGTTGTGACCCAGCTCACCTTGTCCTTTGCCGTCATGCCTTTCATCTTCCTATCTTTCGGTGATTCGATCAAGGTCTGGAGGAGCGTCTATTTTTATGGTATTGTTGGTAATATCGCATCCCTTGCTTTCTTTGTCAGTCCCGCCAAAGGATTACTTCTCAAAAAGCTGAAAGCACGCAATAAACCCCACGTCCCCCGGGCGGTCAGCACGGAGAACATACGACAACCAACTTTGGGTCTACCAAACGATGCAATCCAGGAATTTGATGACGCAGTTCAAGAGATCAGAGCCGAGATTGAATCCAGACAGAGACGAGGTAGCCTAGCCAATATGCCTACGGGCGATGAATTGAAGGCTGCTGTGGAAGATAAATTAGACTGAAGGCATTAATTAGCAATGCCATTCTCACGGTAGTTGATTGATAATCAGATGGATGGAGTCCTTGTGTCATGTCGAGCGAACAGTTGAAGATTCAGTCGTTATAAGATGAGTTTATGATTGAATAGACTTGCTATCGTTCGGGCAAAACAATTGGTTACTCATGCGGTTCGTTTGCGGTGGGTGTTCATTCGTTTTGGACACCACTTGGGACTACCCTACCCCTTTTATGGCGTTTTTTATACGAGATCTTATTCTTACATTTTAGCGCTATCGCCATTTCTGACTCACTTTGGAGCCATGTTGAGTTGAAGCATGGACATGTCTGCATATAACTCCATATATACAGCATATTCCGACTCCAAGTACCTATCAAATAGTCAGTGAAAGGAAGGTTGCGCATGTCTCCGCGTATACTCGTAAACATGGTTGGTTTGATGTGTAAATTTTCTGGTCTCGAATTCATAATAAAGACATGTATACATGAATACATGATGGAAGAAGGGAGTATACAAATGTTTATATAACAAACAGGACATATATCCATAATCTGTCGTAAAATCCCAATTAACCCAGCGCTGCGTGCTCCAAACATGGGCTTCCCTTCAACCTACTGCTATCTGGGAAGTCTTCCGAAAGCGAACACAAACAACTCATAGAATAAGGTTGAAAGAAAATGAGAAACAAGCATTATGCGCATCACGTCGTGCAGTCGTGTCGAGTAGTATAACCGGGCAAGTGCAAGCAGCCAAAGCGAAGTAGAAAGGTTAAGGAAGCGGCGAGGGTATCAAAGGCGGAAATGAGGCATCGAGAGGTAAGGTAGAGTTGAAGAAACCGACTCCCAGGAAGCAATGATGAAGATCGTAGTCCGATCCAGTCGAAAAAGGTCAAAAAGAAAATGAAGTTAGGAAAGGAGAAGAAGAAAAAGAAGAAAAAAATAGCAACCAGCATGACCTGCGAACAAGGCCGAAAGACAGGTTGCAGAGCGTTGATGGACACTAGAAGCCCACCTTCGTTCCCACAACAGCCAGGGCGATCTGCAAAGAATATTAGCAACAGTGATTGGCACACACGAAAGAACACCCACGATGATTGTAATGATCACCAATCCCAGAGGATTCATCCATCGATTAAGATTCCTCCACCACCGAGCGTTTTCGTACCGCTTCTGTTCAAGGTCAAGCACTCGCATTTGGAGTGTCTTTTCACGTCCGGGTTCAGTGTCTTCCTGCAAGATCATTTCCGGTTTAAGGGGCAAAGGAAGAAAGGCTGCTATGAGCCAGGCTGAAGCAAAAACAGGTAAGCACTAAAGCTGCGTTTTCCAAGTTCGGGTACAAATAGGCACATACCAAGTGGGAATATGAACCCCAGGCAAAAAGACCATACTTGAATGTTTCTGCGTCCGAGAAAAGGCTCTGTTCGGGAATCCATAGACGGAGCCCCCCATGCACTCCCCCTCGGGCGAACATTACGTCTATCAGGGTACAAATGCGGGGACCAGCTGTGTCGCAATTGATGGCGGAAGTGTCCGGGTCTCTCTGCAACCTCAGGGCCCTTCACCCAATGGCTCCGAGGATCGCGTGGGTCAGGTTTGCTCATCCATCGTATGCTTTGTCCCGTTTCGTTGGTACGGGTCCTCGGGCGAGTAACGGCGGTCGTTAAACGATGGATGGGGTTGGAGTTGGGTGTTGTCGGACGTGCTGAGGATGGACGACTACCTTCCACCAAAGAATGTGCAGAGCTCACCGGCGGACCATAATACATTTTGGCCCAAGTAGGCAGCACGTTGAAGGTCAAACTCGAGCTAGTACCTGGTCGCTTTGTACTGCGAACACTGCTCTGTCTCGATCCGGATGAGTGGCTACTCGGTACCGCTGGGTTTGTAGGACGGACTGGAAGACTGGAGACATCGTCTAAGTATTCATCCCCGTCCGTACTATTGATTAGCCACACTGAAGAAGACGTCGGTCTCTGACGGACAAGCGCCGCAGTAGGCCTAGATGGCTCTGGTGTGTTCTCGGCACGATCGGCCGGAGAAGCTGATCTCGAATCATACTCAGCAGACCATCGGGATGTAACTGTAGATAAGTGCGATTTAAAGTGTTCCGATGCACCGTCCGCCGTGGTCTCGTGCTGGATGTGGTCCAGTGAGTCACCAGAGTGCGAGACGTCTACCCTTGAGCTCGCCGACGAAGGCGCATGGATGGTTGGATATTGCAGAAATACGCCGCTATCCACAATCGCTTGAATATCTGAGGATGGATCGCTGCGAGAGGAAGAAGTAACAGACCGAGAGTGACTCCGTTCACGTGCACGGGTGGAATTTGAGCGCGCTGAAGGCCCTTGATAGGGCGGATTTGAACGAAAGGAGTAAGATCGTGAGCTTGACTGTTCGGAAGATGAGCCATGGGTCCAGGGAGCGGCTCCTATATACCTGATCACAGTTCCCAGTGAATTCAGAGAGGAAAGCGAGTTTGACCGAGAACCACTGTCTGGGTTGGAGGATGCGCCAATTGGGACAAAATTCAAACTTGAACTGTCAAGCGCAATAAAATTCGGACTGGATGACGGCCCAATAGGTACTACATTGGGACTAGAATTGCTTGATGCGGCATTTGCAGGGTGTGGCAGTTGAGATGACGTGTCGGAAATTACGGTCTTGATTGTTGGAGCAGCTCCAGGTAGCGTATTTGGTTCCTCATCCGAGTACGAAACATCCGACTTGAGATCGACTTCTCTATGCTCTGCAGGGCCATGTTCTGGAAGAGAGGGCTTGCTGGAGGCAGGATCATCTTCCCATACCTGAGGTGGAGTGTTTGCAGCGTCGAAGGTTGAAGATAAGTCCCATGGATCACCAGTAGATTGCTCAATCAAACTGCTATCTAGAATCTGGCTGATTTCTGTTGACAGTGTCGCACTGGATTCACTCGGCATCTCCTCGATGTGGAACCTAGAATCCGGGATGAACTCTTGACCTTTCCCTGGTCGTGGCAAGAGGATGTGTTCTGGTTTGGTCGGATACGGAGTTGCCGTGTAAACATCGCATTCGTCTTCCTGGTCATTGTGCTTGTCGCTAACAGCTCGTAGGGACTGTGGCGGTGAAACCTCGTTCGTTTGAGAAGAAGTGCGCTCATGAAGAGCCCTCCGTCCGGGCGACGAGGTATTTGAAGATCCAGTTGAGCGCATGTTGTTGGGGTGGTGATTAGTTCATTATCAGGAAGTACCAGTTGCAGATGTGTTTATGATATAAGGGTGTCAGAAAAACAGATGTTTCTATTGACGAATAAAGAAGGAAAAGGAAAAATGCCAAGTTGCAGGCTTAGGATCGTAGAATGGTAAAAGTGAAAATAAAAACGATCAATAATATCAATGGCTGCTTGTCTAAGACGTAAAAAGAATGACAGCAGATTTAGTCTATGAAGCAAGCGATCGACGGCCGCTGGTGTTGTTTTGTTGTTTGGTCTATTATTTTTTTGTGATGCAATAAAGAATGTCTCGACACACAAGCGACGTCAAATGAGCGACAGGCGCGTCCAACGGGACGTAACATTAAAAGGAGCGTGGAGCCAGCAGTTGAAGAATCGTGGAAAGTTAGATTAGCTGAGTCATGCCGACCGTGGAAAAGAGAGTTGAACCGAGACCAGGGAGCACCGAAAAACGTTTCCAAAAGAGCGACAAGACCCTGAACGACTGGAAGAGAAAAAACCAAGATCTGAAACGAAGCAGTTATGCAAGCAGGCCTCAGTGGTAATATTTAAACAGCCCCCAGAATCCTGTCGTCTAGTAGCGGCGGTGAACGATGTGAGCCCAAGGTCTGGAACAGGAAACGGATCCGTCCAGGGGCATGCAAGCTGCACGCTCTAGAGCAGCATCTGAAACAGCTCTATTAGTGGGGGAAGAAAAAAAGAAAAGAGGTAGGAATTGACCTGCAGTTCGTCCACTAAACTGAACTGCCCTGTCGATCGCATGAGAAAGTAATTGGTCCGCGGATCAGTCGCAACTCACCAGGAGGTCTGGATCGTTTGGTTTGCATCGGAAGGTCCTTCGTCATTCGGTTCCAAAACATGTGGCGATCTTCAAGATCTAATTACGTATATGAACAATTCATAATTCCCAGTGTCACAAATAGTGAGCCGAGCGATCCGGAAATTAGGAGTGGAATTCGAGGCTCGAGGTCATTTCGCTTGGTGTTGATCCGGTTGAGACTAAGAGTGGAGGAGGGGCTTAAACACTTCAGCCCATTGTTAATGTTGGGGGTCAAAATTCGGAGGGCGTAATGAAATCTAGTTGGCTGGCTAGTATTATTGAGGAACATATGCAAGACCCCTCTACTGTGCATTAGTAGGGTGTTGCATTCGTACGCAGCAGCATGTCTCTGTATGCTGTAGGGATCTCATCACATTATCTCAGAGCCGAAAGCCTCCTAGTAAGTCTCCACGAGGATGGCTGTCTCGATTGTGACCAATCCGAACGGTGGAGTTCCAGACTTCGGGGAACAAAATGAACCGGGGTCGATCCACTAGGGCAACTGTGGCTGAGCGAGTCAGAGTAGGCCGAGGTTTCCAGAATGTCTCATTGGTAGCAGAAAGGGGGAAATTATCTCTTTGTCAACTCATGCAGTCCAATAACCACACGAGGCTCGCCGTGAATCCTGACGAGATAAAGCGAAGGATCATCCAGAGCTGCCAACTCAGCCGAAGTGGGGTCGACCAGACCGACAGCGTCAACGAACACGAGTTACGTACCGTTATTGCTTGAAGATTTCGATGATGAATTGTGAGCTTAACTGATGCATCCAATGGATAGGGATATGGCAGATGAGGGGCGGGGTTCCTTTCTAATGCTTTGGATGCTTCATTCTAAAAGAGGTACGTTGAAATAGGATTCGGATCGTAGTTCCTTTGGGTCCAGTGACTGTACTGTATCCATGGCACATGATGAAAGGCGATCCAACGGCACAGTACATGAAAGTTGTGTGTAGCTTTAATGCCTTCATAATCAGGCAAAAATTGACAAACTTCTGTTTTCTTTGTCTTTCTTTTTTCCCTTTTATCCATCAATTATCATCTTCAACGACAGGAGGATCGTCATTCCAACGCCCCTGATGCACTGTGCTACATTACATGATCCAACTCTTGTATAACTATCAATTCGATACATTATTCCTCCAACGTCGGGTTCGCTCAGTAATTCTACCCGACTCAGGTAGATAGCTATGGCCCCTATCAATATCCTGGCGCGTCTTAAGGCCCTCTACGCCAAAAGCTATGGTAGGCCCGGCAATCGGAAATGATCTCGTTTACCTCTAACCGTTCGTCTTCAGATGAACCGGTCATTTCGGCCCAGACGGCAGCTTTCTTCTCGGTAGGCATCTGCTCCCGTCTTAGCGCTTCCCCAAACAATTATCTATAAAAATAGCATCATTGTAACCTAGAAAAGGGGCAACTCCCACCCCCTAAAAAGGCCTCTCGTTTTTACAGCTGATGGGCATAGTTCGTTTCAGGATTAGCTAACAAAATCTTGCAGATCTGTCTGACATTAGTCTATGTGGTCCCATTCTATGTCTCTTCTACCACTCGGCCATCTCCCACCCTCAGCCGAGATGCACCGTCCGTGATCCGGGCTAGAATTAAGGCTGTGACTCTGTCTTGCATTGGGAGTACCTTGGCTGTCTCATGGCTGATCCTCGCCAAGGGCAATGTCCCTCTAATTGAGGTACTCAGATTTCTTGGGTGGTGGCCCGTAGGATTCGCGGAGGTTCTACGCAGCTTGTTGCTAACCGCCATTCTGTTCGCCGGGCCCCTTTTCGAGCGAGGGATTGCCGAAGGCGAGTGGAGAGATTGGATTAAAGGGAACAGGATCTCCGAAACCCTTCGCGGGTGGATCGGATGGAGAAATTACGTCGCTGTGAGTCAAATCCAACGGCCCAGATCTGATCGCTATCCTTCAACTCACGGTATACATGTAAACAGGGCCCGGTCACTGAAGAGATCATGTTTCGCTCCGCCATCATACCTCTTCATATACTCGCCAAGGCCTCTCCAAGCCGGATCGTGTTTACAGCCCCTCTATATTTCGGGATTGCCCATGTACACCATTTCTATGAATTTCGTCTAACTCACCCGGACACCTCCATCATAGCGGCGCTGTTCAGGTCGGTCTTTCAATTTGGCTATACCACCATCTTCGGGTGGTACGCAACCTTCATCTATCTACGTACAGGATCTCTACCAGCCGTCATTCTCGCTCACGCATTCTGCAATTGGTGCGGACTTCCTCGTCTTTGGGGAAGGGTTGAGGCCGGGGTTCCTCTCGAATCACCATTAGCCAAAGGCAAAGGCGATACAGATCGGGGGCAGGTTTACGCGTATGACCAACTCAGCATTGGTTGGACCGTCGCGTACTATGCAATTCTCGTTGGAGGGGCTACTGGCTTCTATTATGCTCTGTGGCCTCTCACGGACTCTTCTAGCGCTTTAGTTGCATTTACAGGTCCGTAAGAAGATAAGATATGGGGCTATAGCCAGGCAATATATTGGCATATGGCATGGCACGTATGTGTGACGATATATATATGTAATTGTTGTACTGACTTACTCAATATCTCGAAGTCGTCATGGCAAGCTTCATGTGGCGACAAGATTTGTCTCTTCTCCTTCTCCCTTTTATGACTCCAAGAGACGGTATATTGTACCTCATGCACTTAAATATGTTGATATTATCCAGGTCAAATTTAAACCATATGATTGATTGATAATAGATTTTGAATTCCAGTTATCTCCGAGGCGGCCTCGGAAACTCGGGTATTTATCCCTTCTCGACACAGGCTCTGGATTTCAAAAACAGCGACCGCTTTTGCGGACAAACCTGGACATGTAAAGGACTGTAGAAGGTGTGCAATTTTCGGAATCTCCCTAGTATATCACTAGGTCGAGGCACAGTTAAAATAATTCCGTCAATCATGACGCTGCGCCCCGTGCTCTGCTGGGTAACCAGCAGGTCACCAACAGCCCGCTTTCTCTCAGCTACCGCTCGCCGCGCAAGTTCCCTGCGAGTTCCTCTAGACATCCCTCCACCATTTCCAGTGACCAAGTCCTGTCCAGCGCCCAGTTGCTCATGCCCTACAACACCGGCAATGCCCGATGGGCTCCCGATTGATTATAACCAGCCGCTGAATGGGACAATGGCAGCCTACGCGCAGCAAATCCTCATTTGTACTGGGCAAAGAGATTGGACAAGTCGTATCGAAGATGACGGGAAACATCATGCTTGGGGACACCTAGCGAGAGGGTTGAAGCGTCTCTTGGGTCGGGGAGGACACTATGCTGACGTAGGTAGCGACCCAGGTCCAGCTATCTCCGGTGGACACATTGCTAACAGGTGAAGCCTTTCAACAACATTCTTGTCAGCAGCTCTTCCTTTTCTCCGTCCGCTGCTTCTACTAGTACCCCTTCCACCGCGTCTGCATTTCTCTTTCCCAGTTTCAAATACTTCCCATCCATTCCGACCGATATACTCGATTCTACGGACGCGGGGACCGACTTGTCTACATTCGTACAAGCCTTCCTTCTCCCCGAAAAGCTCAGTGCTATGTCGGAGTCTCTTCCTGAGGCTAGAAAGGCTGAACTCACTCGGAAGCTGGAGCTAGCATCCGAATTCACGGATGCTGTGGATTTATATCACTCTCCTGTCATCCTTATCTGCGGCCACGGTGGACGTGACATGCGGTGCGGTGTAATGGCGCCTGTGCTGGAGAACGAATTTCGGAGGGTACTTGGTGATAAAGGATTCACACTGGCAGGCAGTGGTGATCACACAATTGATAGCCCTGGGCATGCTCATGTGGGTTTAATTAGCCATGTAGGTGGTCACAAGTATGCAGGCAATGTGATCGTGTATATCCCTCCGGGTATAACGATGAAAGGTTCTTCCTCTCCGCATCCTCTCGCAGGCAAGGGAGTTTGGTACGGTCGTATAGAACCTAGGCATGTGCAGGGAATTGTGGAAGAGACTATCCTAGGTGGAAAGGTGGTCGCAGACCATTTTCGGGGTGGTATTGATCGAAGCGGGGATATTCTGCGATTATAGTGCTCCCCCACCTTGACATTGAGTTCTGGCGTCTCATTGTATTATACTCGCTACGGTGTACTGCCGATGCCTTTGAGCCAGATAGAACGCTACACTGTACCCTTAGCCAACATTCGGCTTAGGATACGTATATACTGTCAGATCAAATAGCCTAGGGTGTACCAAGTTTATCTCATATCAACAGAATCCACTGTCACTAGCAAATAACCCAGGCCGTTGCAGCTAACAATGGTAAATAACTCGATACTCACGGAAAATTCGACCGCTCCATCAGCTTTCCTCATTAGATCATACTGGTTTTCTGTGTGTATTATTGATACCTCTTACACAAATAGCTTATTCCGGTCATAGCTCAGGTATATTTATACCTTCTCGATCTGTTCACAGAGAGGGGGCTTGTGTATAGGATACATTTATCAACTTGTATATCAGATGTATGGATATATACCTGTGGATTTCGTCTAGGTATCATTGAAGAGCAAAGGTTTTAAGAGCACTACAGAAGACATAGAACGGTCAAATGTCATATAAGGACTATCAACCACACACTATCTAGTTTGAATTTATAGCATAGTGCATGCTACGCAGAGAAGGATTTGACAGCCATTTTTACAAGCCCCTCAGGAACAGGTACCTGCCGCGCGAGCGGCCGCATAGTACCTAGTAGTTTACAGTATGTAACTGGTGTCAAAAGACACTATCCCGTATTAGGATTAGAGTAGACCGAGTGCGGTATGACAACATGGGTAGATTTGCTTGTTGAACAAACCCGCTGCCCTTCGTGGGACCCATGTTTATCCCAGTGACTCAATTGCAACAATTTCAAGATAACCTCTCGCATGGCAAAATGATGAGATAGTCACTATGTTGTCTATTTCTCGCCTACAATTGGGTCCGACTAGGAAGTGCCCAGCACACAGACGATGGAACCACGGGTGTCGTTTACTTTCGATCCCTACCTTCGCCCGTTTCGCAACGACCGTTACATCAAAAGTCAACACCAGAAAACTCGACCTACCCGCAATTGACAGAAAATGGCAAGAAAGATGGCGTTCCAAGAAGTCGAATCTACCATCCATTGCCTCGGAGACGAAAGGCAACACGGAGAGACCCAAATCTTATATTCTGTCCATGTTTCCTTATCCGTCAGGAACGCTACATATGGGACACTTACGTGTGTATACCATATCTGATGTGCTTGCGCGGTTCTATCGCATGCGCGGTCATGAAGTTCTCCATCCTATGGGGTGGGATGCTTTTGGGTTACCAGCGGAGAATGCGGCGATAGAGCGGGGAATCGATCCGGCAGAATGGACGAAGGATAATATTGCCAGGATGAAGGAGCAGCTACGGAGTATATCTACTTCCTTTGATTGGGACCGAGTGAGGCAAAAACATGATGTTTCGTGTCTAAGATTCTGCTAACATGTTGCTGTTGCAATGCGTTAGGAATTTGCGACGTGTGCACCAGAATTTTATGAACATACGCAACGAATATTTTTGATGCTCTATAAGGAAGGGTTAGCATATCAGGCTGAAGCTTTAGTCAATTATGATCCCGTGGATAAAACGGTTCTAGCAAACGAACAGGTACACATTGCGACCAGCGTTTTGCGTTTGCCCGATTCTGACTCTGTGGCTAGGTCGATGCTAATGGCTTCTCGTGGCGGTCCGGAGCAAAGGTCGAAAAGTTGAACCTAAAGCAGTGGTTTTTCCGTATAACTGACTTCAAGGAAGCTCTTTTGAATGACCTGGATTTCCTAGCCAGTGGCTGGCCGGAGCGGGTGCTGTCCATGCAGCGCAACTGGTTGGGAAAATCGTATGGCGCAAAAATTAAATTCCCTGTCGCAGCAGAGGGAATTGGACGCGGGAGTACGGACATAAATGTCTTCACCACGCGGCCAGATACGCTCTATGGAGTAGAATATCTTGCTCTATCTCTGAACCACCCCATCGTTCTAGCGGCTGCGGAGACAGATTCAAAGCTGCGTAAGTTTTTGAATGAGGCGGCCTCTCTCCCCCCTGACTCCAAGACCGGGTACAAATTATCCTCCGTGACTGCCTCTCATCCATTACGTATCATTGATAAGGAGAGCCCTCACATCGCTCGCCAGCTTCCTATATTTGCAGCTCCCTATGTTCTTAGCGATTATGGAGAGGGAGCAGTAATGGGAGTTCCAGGTCACGACTCTAGAGACCTGGCATTTTTCAAAGAGAATATTCAGCCTGTGTCCATATCTGTCGTGATCGAGCCCCAGCGTGCACCTGATGCCGAGTCCGGGGCTTGCGCCGGCCATCTCCCTTCCAGTGACATGAAAGCTTATACTCAAGAGGGCTTCCTTAACTCCAGGTGCTGGAAATACCAGGGCCTTCATTCCCGTGAGGCGGGCCAACAAATAATCAATGACCTCAGAGCCGTAGGCCATGGAGAAGCCGTGGAGCAATGGAGACTGAGAGACTGGTTGATCAGCAGACAGCGCTACTGGGGCGCCCCGATTCCTATCGTTCACTGCAAAGATTGTGGTCCCGTGCCAGTGCCGGACGATCAGCTCCCAGTCAAGTTGCCTAAGATAGAAGGGGACTGGCTAAAAGGGAAGAGAGGAAATCCTCTGGAGTCGTCCGATGAGTGGGTCCGCACTGAATGTCCGAGGTGTGGAGGTCCTGCGAAGCGGGATACAGATACCATGGATACCTTTGTCGATTCCTCATGGTACTTTCTCAGATTTTTAGATAGTGCCAACAGACGACAGCCGTTTTCACCGTCATCTGCACGACCAGTCGATGTTTATATCGGCGGTGTTGAGCACGCGATCTTGCACCTACTCTACGCCCGGTTTATCTACAAATTCCTTGCCAAGTCCGACATTGCTCATGTAGGTGATGTTTCGGGGCCATCGGAGCCGTTTAAGACACTCCTTTCCCAAGGCATGGTTCATGGGAAGACGTACTCGGAGCCCTCTACAGGGAGATTCCTCCACCCTTCCGAAATGGACATTTCTAACCCCGATAAGCCGGTAATCAAAGGTACTCAGATCACTCCTAATGTGTCCTTTGAAAAAATGTCGAAGAGCAAGCACAATGGCGTGGACCCAACAACATGTGCCCTGCACTACGGTGCTGATGCCATTCGCGCTCACGTGCTGTTCTCCGCACCCGTCAGTGAAGTCCTTGAATGGGATGAGACAAAGATTGTGGGAGTCGAACGCTGGTTTGGCCGAGTTTGGAAGCTTGTGCACGATGCGCAAGAGACGCTTGCTTCATCGTCATACACGTTAAGCCCAGATGAGCTGACGTTGTCCAACCACACCACAACCCTCCCCCACTCTCTGCAGAATCTCAGTGACAATGACGCAGATGCTGTTCTCTTCACCCATAGAACCATTTTGTCCGTTACAAGTTGCATAGAACATAACCCTTATGGGTTGAATACCGTTATCTCTGACCTGACCAAATTAACCAATTCATTGTCCTCATCAACACCATCATCTCCACAGGTCCTCTACTTGTGTATATCCTCTCTGCTTCGCCTTCTCGCACCTATTGCTCCGGCTCTAGCTTCTGAGAGTTGGGAATTTCTCAACGAACCGATAATTGACCGCCACCCGAAGAGTGAAACCATAGACAATGCATATAACGTGCCCCCAATTTTTGACTGTCCTTGGCCAACAGCGCTCCTGACTTCAGAGCAGGCGGATGTACTGTCGGCGCGTGGTGGCCAGACCGTGGCAGTTCAGATCAATGGCAAGTTGCGCTTCACTGTCACCGTTCCACGACAGCTGTCACACACGACGGATGAAACAAGCGAGCAGGATTTTGTAATCAATCGCATCCTGGAAACTGACGAAGGACGTACTTGGTTGCGTGAGAAGAATGACTGGGAAAAACGGAGGCGCGTGATTGTTGTCAAGGGGGGTAAATTGGTTAATATTGTATTTTAGACTGGAGTTATGGCCGTTATATTGCCAGGGTTTGTAATCGGCATGACCGTGTAGTTATAAACAATTGTACATTAGATCTCAACTCTATTCTTTAGGCGCCATGAATTATCTGGACCATCGTCGTACTCAAACGAACGAGAGTTAAATATTCGGGTCAGCGATGTGAGAAGGTAATTGCAGTGGGTGGGCATGGCTATACAATCTATGCCGAAATATTGCTGTAGCTGGATTTCTCTTTCCCTTCCTTCCTGTTGCGTCTCTCTCTTTGTACCTTTTCTTCCCAATCAATTCCAGTCCCCAACTAGAACTACTCCCTCATGGGAGAATTGGGGTCAAAGGCGCTTGTCCGCCCGTTGCATGATGTGGCCGGAATGTGGTGGTACAGTGGAGACTCGAATGGACCTTCCCCTCATTAAATGACAGATGATGGCTGTCAAGGTCGTCCTTCCGGACTGGCGGGTCTCAATTCCGAAGGCTTCCACATTCGGGGATCGAAACTGTACTCTGTACTGTATAAGCCGGTAGAAGTACGGTCGATTCTCGGACTTCAGAGCGTCTGCGTTTCGTTGCGATTATCGGATCTTTTTTGATGCGGAGCAAGGCGATCTCGCCAAGCATAACAAACAGCCAAAGCAAGCTTTCAGTTTACAGTAAACTGAGGGGAGCCTTGAGTATCTAAGTAATGTGGATAACCGGAGAGATGAATGACACCACTTGCGGCAATTTAGATCCACTGCACTAGTTCAGGTAAATTGAAGCCGTTCATCAACCATTATCGGCAATAAAATGAGGGGATGTCCCCCTCACCAGTTGGGTCCCATGGGTATGGAGGTACAGTAAGGTACCCGACGTACTAGTCCTTAGTATACATTGTCATAGTATTTAATACTAGAGGTGGCATGAGTACTAGTAGTAGTAGTAGTAGTAGTACTTGCACTCCGTACCTCGTACCAACATAGTACTAGTACATACAAGGTCATGTTGACCAATAGGACGGGGTGACCCCTCATGAGGGGTAGAAAGCTATCCAGATAGGAATAGCACAACCAGGTGGTACCTACCGGGTAGTTACTCCGAGTAGGTACTAAGTTGGAGGTACCTGTGTACCAGTGCTTAGATGGTACCACGTTAGTACTACTAATGCATAGATAGTTACATACATACATAACTACTCGTACATAGATACGTAATCCCAATACTGGATATGAACCCCGCATATCTACTAATTTTTGTCTGTCCAACGCTTTGGCGTTTAATGTAGACTAGGCTAGATTATGTTACATGGACATTGTTTTCTATCCATTATCGATACTGTCCGATTTGAACCGCCCTCTGTCAATCTGTGGATGGATTCCAAAGTTTGACTAATGAATGATGTTCAGTGTCCGCTCACCACCCTTGAGGGAGTCCCGCGTGCGGAGAAGCTTGCGCTCCTCGTTCCACTCGTTCTTTTCCGCACCCTCCCATACGAATAATTATACGAGGTGCCATGGTGCTCACCGCGATCTACTGGTGGTGGGGTCGCTCATCCATTCGCCTTGCTTTCAATCCATGAATGGGTGGACAAAGGAAAGAAAGGATGAGGAGGGGAAGACGGGAGGGGTCCCGAGATGGAATACTACTCAGATGTAGGCGGGGGAATCCATCCTATACTATATATTAAGGCGCAATTCCCCTCCATTCCTTTTCATCAACAAACAGCATCTATTAGTTCTGGATTTGGTACGTATGCCTCCCTAAGTTCTCGACCTCAGCCCATCTCGTGCCACATTACATCCGATTTCTCCAACCTAAAACCATCAGTCATGGACAATTCAACCTCTACGGGTCGATTCCAAATAGTTCGCTGACCGTCTGAGTGTAGCATCCACCTTCACTTTCATCGAGATCATTATCGTGGTTTAATCAATCGAACACAATTCAAAATGGTATTCATTCGTTCTCTCTCTATTGCTGGTACGCGTACACTGACCGAGTGCACAGGGTAAAATTCTTATGGTCCTCTATGACGTAAGTCCTCCATCAAAAGTATATCAAAGGACCATGAACATCAATAGCTGATCGCGAACCTTGATTCTAGGGTGGCGAGCACGCCAAGCAACAGCCCGGACTCTTGGGTACCACCGAGAACGAGCTTGGATTGAGGAAGTGGTTGGAAGAACAGGGCCACACTCTCGTCACCACCTCTGACAAGGAGGGTGAGAATTCTACCTTCGACAAGGAACTCGTTGACGCCGAAGTTATCATCACCACACCGTTCGTGAATCCCGATACCCCATAGGGAACTCTGTTCTTTATCATCGGCTAATCTTGTGCTGTAGCTTCCACCCTGGCTATCTCACCGCTGAGCGCCTGGCTAAGGCCAAGAACCTCAAGATCGCTGTCACTGCTGGTGTCGGATCGGATCACGTTGACCTGAACGCTGCCAACAAGACCAATGGCGGTATCACTGTCGCTGAGGTGACCGGCTGTAATGTCACCTCCGTCGCGGAGCACGTTGTGATGACCATCCTAACCCTGGTCCGTAACTTTGTCCCCGCTCACGAGCAGATTACCCGCGGTGAGTGGGACGTTGCGGCTGTCGCTAAGAATGAGTTCGATTTGGAGGGTAAGGTCGTCGGAACGGTTGCTGTCGGCCGTATTGGCGAGCGTGTCCTCCGCCGCCTGAAGCCATTTGACTGCAAGGAGCTTCTCTACTATGACTACCAGCCCCTTAGTCCTGAGGTCGAAAAGGAGATTGGCTGCCGTCGTGTTGACTCCCTCGAGGAGATGCTTGCTCAGTGCGATGTTGTCACCATCAACTGCCCCCTGCATGAGAAGACCCGTGGCTTGTTCAACAAGGACCTGATCTCCAAGATGAAGAAGGGTAAGTAGCACCATGGCGCACTCAACTGAGGCTGTTTAGACATTAACTAACCTCTTATCAAGGCTCGTGGCTCGTTAACACTGCCCGTGGTGCCATTGTCGTCAAGGAGGATGTTGCCGAAGCTATCAAGACTGGCCACTTGAGAGGTTATGGTGGTGATGTCTGGTATCCCCAGCCTGCCCCGAAGGACCACCCACTCCGCTATGTCCAGGGCCCATGGGGTGGCGGTAACGCTATGGTTCCTCACATGTCTGGTACCTCGATTGACGCACAGATCCGTTACGCTCAAGGCACAAAGGCTATTCTCGAGAGCTACTTCTCTGGCCGTCATGACTATAGGGACCAGGATCTCATTGTTCGAGGAGGTGATTACGTTACTAAGGCATACGGTCAAAGGAACAAGGCTTAGGCCTCGTCAATCACATTGGAATGAATGGGTTAGAATGCTTTCTTGGCGCATGCTTCTGGTCTGAACAGGCCTTTAAGGAGCAGGGCGATGTTTATTTATGATACCTAAAATTCATATTATCTTGTTCTCACCTGCTATTGGCATAGCAAACTTCTGATAAATCATTAAGATTTCTGCTGTAGAATCGTAATAGGGCGTGCAGATCTTGTCTAGTAGCTACCGACTATGTACTACGTAGAGAGAACATACGTCTCGGGCATACTTTGTTGATCCTTGTGGAGATTGCAGATCATCGGAAGCTTGATTTAACCAACCACAGCCCAGCACAGTTAAGTACTTACCGCTGCGTATATATCAAGGCGAAGGTACCTAATTATTCATGGAGAGCGCGTACTGAATTTCGGTTGGGAACCGTAAACCGTGTAACTTACCCACTTTTGTTAGAAGCTGCATATATCGGTTGGTAATGTATATGCTCTACTAACTATACCCGGGTAATGGACTTGCACAATTGGCCTCAGCTTGAAATGGCCATCGGCTTGGATAGATAAGAATGGCTTGAGTGTCCTGGAGTGTTATTCTCTTCTCTTCACTCACCATATAGTATCAGCGGTATTATGGGCCAACCTCATGGTATGGCGTGGCGTCATCGGAATGGATCTACGGCCCAGATAAGGCCATATCCCCAGTTGTATTGCAAATGATGTCCCCTGGACCGGGCATGCTGAATACTAGTTCCCGCCAGGCCCTGGAAGTGTTGTCTACAGGGCTAGCTTACAGTCTGGATTCAAACTGTCACGCGATGCAGAAAGGGTACGTTGGAGAGGATAGTTGATGTAACGGACATAGTCGCAGGTATTTCTCTTGTCTAAACCGTTTCAGACGCCATACGGACCCGTAAATGTCTACGAAGGAATATCAATGTCCTCTTGGACCTTGTCGACCACCTCCCTCTTCATCACTGTCGTCCATAAATCCTTCTTCCAGCTCGCGACTGAGTCGGCTTTCTGCTTCGGCAACAGTACTGCGCCGTCGTTCCAGGGCTTCCCTTCGTGCAGGATCCATATCCATCCCAACCATGATCTCTCCTTCCTCATCAAAGATACTAATGTTATCGTGTTGGTCGTCAAACCGTGCTTGTTGTCGCCATGCTGTCGGTAGAAATAGACGCATCATGGCATCAGCGATACGGTCCCGCAATGTGGAGGTATGAGCAGAGATGGTGTGTAAGGGAAGATATTGTGAATATCGTTGATGATAGCGACGGAAGAAAGGGATTATAAGGAACGACAAGAGAAGGTAGAGCGCCAGGGAGATGGCGGCTGGGATGATGATGGTCTGAGCGATAGTGATGTGTTTAGCTGAGTACATCTTGTCACAAATTGATGAGTAGAGAGAATACCTTGGCGAAGCTTGATGCTGAACCCATTTCGACTGCTTTGCTGGAGCTTAATTCCACAAGTTGCGACGGTATGGGGTATGCTAGCAACAATGCTAGCTTGGAGGTGCAATGGCAGGCAGTGGTATGATTAATAGGGCGACTTCATAATCAAAGTCTGCATCATAGAATATATCTTCAAGTATGTAATATATCTTGTGGATTGACTTACGGTTGGGACTATCGATGCAGCCTGCTATTTGGAGATAAGGATCCGGATAGCGCACATACGGCGACCTCTTGGCGACCTCTTTCTCTGATTACACTGCACGTGACACGGAGATATAGACTGAAGATCACGTGCACATGCGGCCCCTATCGCGTTCTAGAGCCCGCTTTCCCCCTAATGCCCGTGCTTCAGCCCTGACATGCGAAGAGACACCAGCAAATAGGGTCTGGACGTGGAAAAGATCCCCTAGAAGGCTAGGCTTGCTAAAGTTGATAGGATCGCCACTTCTTGCTACGGTCTGTCCTAGTTGCTCTGGGTTTCAAAGAGAAAAGAATTCGTGTATCTGGCCCCTCTCTTTTCTACCGCTGCTCCGCAGCGGGTATTAACTACTAGTGCCAGCCAGAAGTGCGAGGAACCGCATATTTATTTGAGCCCGATACTACCATTGCTATCTCTTAGGCTGGGAACGGTAGGTGCTGTCATTCATCCGGAAGGATCTTTTCAGCGCCCAACGGAAACCTTTTGTGTGTTGTGAACTCATGCTGCGCCCTGCTCTTTCCCAGCGACGTCCGTCAAAATGCCAACCACCACGTCCTCACCTGATAAATCAAGACAAACCTCGGCTGGCAAATCGTTCTTTGGGAGGAAACTGCATAAGGAAAAGCCAGTAGAGGACCGATATGACGGGGGCGGATCATTCGAGAATCTGGCCCCCCCTGGAAGCTCAGCTGGCTCTCGGTCGTCCCGACATTCGAAAAGATCATCGGTTCTGTCTGTAGATTATCCACATGATATCGATCCCTCCGGACTGTCAATGACCGCTGGTGTCATCACGTCTATCCCTTTCGAAAGTCTCCCTGCCGATACTAAGACACCCATCCCAATCGAGTATCTATCCAAGCCCGAGCCATCGCGAAAAGAGCAAACGTCTAGTCATCCGTCACCTAATCACTTGGCTAAAGGGGCTAGTGACTTCCATCAATACCCTGCGTGGAACCCTTCTTCCGTCCGAGATAACAATACATACTCACATCCTACTGGCCCTCGTCCACCACCGCATGCCTCGAATTTAACAATGACTGGAAGTAATACGGGGGATAAAGGTGCACGGTACCAACAATGGGGGCGGCCAGGAAGTTCAGCCGCCAATACCGGCTTCAGTCACAACTCTTCTTCGACGGTAGACTCATCTAATTCACGTATATCTTTCGACCAGGCTAGCGTCCATTCTTCGCTTTCCTCGAACACCCGCGGTTCCAGCCATTTCTCATCTGATGGATCATCGCGTACGCTTACAACTCATTCGGCTGATCGAAGTACCTATTTCCCGAGTGGAAACCCAAACCGACTTTCGACTCAGTCGAACTGGCAGCTACCGCCAGCTGCACAGCCGAGGCCTCCTCCGATTAACCCAGAACAATATCTCGCTCGACCGAGGGATGATCGTGTTGTCGACCAGTTATTCCTGGAATTGATGCAGAAGCGAGGCTGGCAAAACCTCCCAGAACAGGCGAAGAGACAGATGCTCGCATATCCGGCTTCTAAGAAATGGACACTTGTTCACCAAGACAGGCTAACAGAGCTGCAAGGGGAACAAAAGCGCAGGCAGAATGCGCGCCAGACACATGGCCAGGACGGCCCAGTTGGTATTCTCGAGCGAGCGGATGAGGAGGGAAGCCCAGAGTGGTACGTCAAGAAGGTCATGGATGACTCTATTACCTCGAAGCAGCTAGCTAGCTTAAGTGTCAGCCTGCGGACACAACCAATTAGCTGGGTGAAGGCCTTTGTCGAGGCACAGGGTCAAATAGCTCTTACGAATGTTCTCTCGAAAATCAACCGCCGCAAAGCTTCAGGTCCTGTTCCGGCCCCTCCAACTGGTGATAAGGATCTAGATCGCGAATATGATATCGTCAAGTGTTTGAAAGCCTTGATGAATAATATGTATGGTGCCGACGATGCTTTAGATCACCAGCAGGTCATTATAGCTCTTGTGAGCTCGTTGCTCTCCCCTCGGCTTAATACTAGGAAACTAGTCAGCGAGGTTCTAACTTTCCTATGTCACTGGGCTGAAGGACATGGCCACCAGAAGGTCCTCCAAGCCATGGATCATGTCAAGAATCATCAGGGTGAAACCGGCCGTTTCGATGCCTGGATGCGGATAGTTGAAGTAACAATCGATGGCCGTGGAAAAATGGGTAGTTTAGTCGGTGCGAGCGAAGAATATCGCAGCGGCGGCATCGGAATGGAAAACCTTCTTATGGAGTACGCTGTTTCCACCATGCTTCTTATTAACATGTTAGTTGATGCGGGGGAGAATGACTTGCAATTACGATGCCATATCCGGGCCCAGTTCATCTCTTGTGGAATTAAGCGTCTCTTGACAAAGATGGAGGGTTTCCAGTATGAGGTCATCGACAAGCAGATCGAACGTTTCCGGGAGAATGAGGCCATTGACTACGAAGACCTTCTACAGCGGGAGAGCAGCAGTATGAAGGATAGCATCGAGGGCGAAGTGAAGGATATGAGTGACCCGCTGCAAATCACCGACGCTATTGCAACTAAAATTCAGGGAACCCGGGCTCACGATTATTTCCTCTCTGCTATGCAACATCTTCTCCTAATTCGTGAGAACTCTGGCGAAGATGGTTTGCGCATGTACCAGCTTGTAGATGCTATGCTTAGCTACGTTGCTATGGATCGGAGACTTCCTGATCTCGATCTCCGACAGGGTTTGACTTTTACCGTACAGAGTCTTCTAGATCGGCTTCATACCGATGCAGAAGCGAGACGGGCATATGATGAATCTCTAGAGACCCGTCAAATTGCGGAGGCTGCAATCGCTGAACGGGATGAGATGAAAGCACAGATTGAACTAGGCGCTGATGGCTTGGTTAAGAAACTACAGAAACAGATTGATGAGCAAACAGGCATCATCGAGCTTCAATCGAGGCAAAACGAAATGATTAAAGCTGAGGTCGCCGATCTCCAAAGGCTTCGGGCTCAAGAGCTTCAGCGCAATGAGTTGGAGACCCGCGAGCTTTATTTGATGCTTCGAGATGCTCAGGATATAGCCGCATCAAATGCTAAGAAGAACAACTTGGCTGAGACAGATCCCTCGCATATGAGAGGTATTTTAGATCGTGAAAAACTCTTGGAGAGGTTGGAAATGCAACTCGAAAGGACAAAAACACAGTTCAAATTAGAAGGCAAAGTCTGGGGTCAACATGGCCCCTCGGACCGGCTACGAGAGTTACGAGAGCAAATGGATGGTGAACCTGAACCCAACGATGACTTCCAGGAACATGCGCGTCGAAACCTAGATAGCAACGCCCTAGGATCTGTTTATCGAAAAAGGAGCCTTGTTCCAGGAGCAGATGATGCCGCTGGAGAGAGTCTGGAACAGACTAACAATGAAGATGGTGAAATTCTGTATGAGAAAGCACGTCTTGTGGACATCCAGCGACCCCGGATGAACCCTGCTCAGGCCACTGGCCTTCTCGGCGAGATTGCGGCGAAAGTACCTAAGATTGGCGCCGAAGAGGGCGAAACGAAAGCCGCTGCTGACGAATCGCATTTCCCTGAATCAGAGACCCCGGCCATCAAAGTGGACGAGCCCAAAGGGGAGAGCAAGGATGAAAAGGTCGATTCAAGTGTTGTTGCTGGCCCTC